CCCTAACAAGTACCCTAAACTTATCCCAACATACTTCCTAACACGTTGCCTAACCCAAACCATAACTGTAACCTTAACACATACCCAAACACATACTGTAACACACACTCTAAACATTTACATGTATCCTAACAAGTACTCTAACATGTACTTCAAGTCATACATGTACCCTAGCATGTGCACAAAACATACCCTGTTTGCTAACATGTACTCTAAACACTAACTCATACCCTAACATGACCCTAACACTTATTCAAAACCATGCAAATACCCTTAAATACACTCAAACTTGTACCTTAAAGTAACCCAATGTACACCCTAATATGTGCCCTGACTTTAACATGTCTTTGAACCCTAACAGATTTCCCAATAGTACTCTAACACATTAAACATACTCTAGACACGCATATAATAACAAATACCCTAACACATATTCTATAAAGCGTACAGGTAACCTTACATGTACCCTGAATGTACCCTAACATACTCTAACTCTGACCTTTACATATACCCCAAGTACCTTGACACATATTTAAAACATTAATGTACCCTAACATGTGACTCAACCATATCCTAACATGTACCTTCACCCTAACGAATCCCCTGTGAAGTATGCTAACTCTAATACATACCCTAATATGTGCCCTAACTAACACACACTCTAGCATGAACCGTAACCCTAACAAATCCCCTATCAAGTACCCTAACTCTAACACATACCCTAACATGGACTCAAACACATACCCAATATGTGCCATTACTTTCACATGTATGTTAAACCTAACAGATTCCCAATATACTGTAATACAATAAACATGCTCTGGACACGAACCCATATGGTAACAAGTACCCATTCACATACTCTCTAAATTGTACCTGTACCCTGAATGTACCCTAACAAACTACAACTTCACATTTACCCTAAACGTAGCACATACCCTAATAAATACTCTAAATTCTAATACATTGTCCAAACCATCCAGGTAACTGTCTTATGTGTATCCCAAATGTGTAACCTGTCACATGCATGTACCCTAACCTATACCCCATCACACACCCTAATATGTACCCTGACTGACATCCATACACCACTCACTTCTCCTTTGCCACACCCCTCCTGTGCTCTGCCTCCCCACAAGCCCCGCCTCTGGACTCATTGTTGCCCCACCCCTATCATTCTCTGCCCCTACACAAGCCCCGCCCCTGGACCCCTCACTTCCATGCTCTGCTCCTCCCACAAGACTAGAGGGTGCAGTCTGCACTGATTCCCACCAGAGGGCGCTCTGGGTGTGTGCACGGTCCTTCTCAGGACCAGGGGCTGCAGTGGATAAAGTAGAGTGAAGTGTTGAGCTTTAACGCTTTCTTAATTGATGGCTGCTTTTAAGAATGATTCCCACCAGAGGGCGCTCTGGGTGTGTGCACTGTTCTTCTCAGGACCAGAGAGTGCCATGAACACTGATACCCACAAGAGGGCGCTCTGGGTATGTACACTGTCCTTCTCAGGACCAGAGGGGGCAGTGAGCACTGATTCTGACCAGAGGGCGCTCTAGGTGTGCACACTGTGCTCCTCTTGTCCTGGCCAGGTATGCAGTGTTCACTAATTCCCACCTGATGGTGCTCTAGGTGTGTGTACTGTCCTCCTCAGGACCCCAGATCCTCCCACAAGCCCACCCCTGCACTGCTCACTTCTTGCTCTGCTCCGCCCACAAAACCAGAGGATGCAGTGAGCACTGATTCCCACAAGAGGGTGCTCTAGGCTTGCACACTGTCCTCCTCTCCTCAGCACCTAGGGTGCGGTGATAGCTGATTCCCACCGGAGGGCGCGCTAGACAGGTGAGCACCTTGCTCCTCTTCTCAAGACCAGGGGTGCAATGAGGGCCGTTACTCACCAGAGGGTGCCCTAGTCATGCTCACCGTCCTCCTTTCCTCAAGACCAAGGGGTGCAGTGACCACTGATTGCCACCAGATGGTGGTCTAGCTGTGTACATGATCCTCCTCCTCTCAGATCCAGGGGATGCAGTGACCAATGTTTCCCACCAGATGGTGCTCTAGGCCTGCACATGATCTTCCTCATCTCAGGACCAGAGAGGTGCAGTGACCACTGCTTCCCACCAGATGGTGCTCCAGGTATGCACACTGTCCTCAAGACCCTTGGCGTCCCACCAGCCCGGCCCCTGGACCGCTCACTTCCTGCTCCTGCCCCACCCCTGCAGTGCTCCACTCCTCCTCCTAGCCTGTAGCTGCAGCTACTTCTGCCCAGGACCCTGGAAAACTTGAAGCCCTGATGAAGTGTCCCAAAGCCTCAGTGCCAGAGACAGACCAGCCTCTGTTTGGTCCTGCTGCAAACTGTAGTGTCCCAACCCCAGAGCAGTCTTGTCCCAGTGTTACGGGGGAAAAAGTCCACTGTTCAGACAGCCTCACTTAAAAAGATGACTTTCTTGGGGAAGTGGAGAGCTAACCGGCCAGGGACGCAGCACAGACTCGGGAGCTGAAACTGCGACCCCGAACAACCCACAAGCTAGGGTTTTTAAAGGCAACATCCACGCCTGGCCACGCACAGGTGGCCAACGGGATTGTAACAGCACATAAGGGTTGCATGTTTATGTCCGTGGCTGGTGGGTTACAGTCCGACTCCTAGGAACTGTTTGAACTAACCTATCATTCTGGCTTGCATTGGCGGGCAAATTTGGGGTCCCCACACAAAGCAAGTGGATATTCTTACTCTTGGGGTTTGTATATTCTGGAAACATGATGTTATAGGCCCTGCATCCTTGAAGCTGGGGGCTGTTACAAAGACAGCTACGGGAGCTTTATTACAGAGATAGCTACAGGAGGATGCACAATGTGCACACCGAGGCATCGACTCCCTTGAAGCAGGAGGCAATCGATCACGGGGTGGAATGCACAACGTTGCACGGCAGGCACCGTTCTAATTGGGCAGGGTATGACATAGGGGGAATTCCATGTGAAATACGTTTTAAGGTCTCCCTTCGTGGCCTCTCTTTGTTTTTAATAAAGGGTCAGCTTCTCGGCTTAGTTTTCCTCACACAGTCTGGGACCTTAACAGTCTAGGAGACCCTTTGCCCTACACCAGCTCTCAGTGAATTCTCAGTGTCAGCTCAAGCCAGCAGTCAGGGCCAGCAGTGATCTGCTGGGTGCCAGGAAGGAGATGGGGCTCCAGAGGAGCCCCATCAATAGGGAGGTAAAATATGGAGGTAGAGGCTGCCCAGCAGAGGCAGGTACATTGTAATGGGTTGTGTTCCCAAAGTTCATGTATACATGCTCTCATCACCCAATACCTGGGAATGTGACCTTATATGGAAGTAGGCTTTAGCAGGAGATCAACTCCAGTTCCTGTTGTTATTGTGTCCCTAAAAGGGGGAAATCGGGTCCCAGAAATGCACCCAGGGATGATCCTCTGCAGAGACGTCACTCTGCTCTCACAGGCTCAGAAGCTGAGAGAAGACCTAGAACTCACAGTGCCTTGTACCTCCTGAGGGAATGTGGCCCAGAAGACACATATTCCATGCTGCTAAACTTCACAGCTATGAACACAGATCTCTAAACAACCCAGTCTGCAGTGGTGTGTCAGAACAACCCTAGACCCTTATGTATGTTTAAATCCTTTATAGTATAAATCAGTTATAGCTAATCATTATCATCTAGTTAAGTATCATTTAAGACAGGGAGGATGTTAACACTAAAAACCAGTCCTCACATATCCCCATAAAAGCATTTTACATTTTGTGGAACTTTTCAATGTGCACTGCAATGTACTAGAGCTTAATAGATCAGGGGCTGGGAAGGAGGCTCAGTGGTAGAACGCTTGCCTTGCATGCCTGAGGCCCTGGGTTCGATTCCCCAGCACCACATAAGCAAAAAGCAAAAAGCCGGAAGTGGCGCTGTGGCTCAAGTGGTAGAGCACTAGCCTTGAGCCGAAGAGCTGAGGGATGGCGCCCAGGCCCAGAGTTCAGGCCCCACGAGGGGACCAATATATATATATATTTCTGGTCCTAGTTGTTACTGTAATACATCCATGGTATCCATTTCATTTTGTGTTTTATTTGAAGCAACTCTAAATCCGACTCTGATCATTTTCCCAGAATGGAGTCAGACAGAACCACTTCACCTGTGCGCTTTCTCAGCTTCAGGGTGCCGGGACTCATAGTCCATAGGACGTGGCCTCTGCATGTCTTCTATGCCACAGGTCCTGAGGCCAGGAGGCCAGTGCACATACGCCTAGTATGCCCTCTGGTGGGAATCGGGACCCACTGCACCCCGAGTCCTGATGAGAGGACAGTGTGCAAGCCTAGGGCGCCCTCTGGTGGGCATCAGTGCTCACCGCACCCCGGGTCCTGATGAGGACAGCGCACAGGCCCAGAGCGCCCTCTGCTGGGCATTAGTGTTCACCGCAGCCCGGGTCCCGAGGAGCGCAACTTCTTGAAAAGATCCAGTGGCCTTTGCTTTCACAGCTATATATTTATAGCACAATTCGTTAGCAGCATATGTGTTTAATTACCCCATTAAGCTGCACACTACACTCCTTTTGAAAGAAATAACTTTATTTACTTATTGTGCCTCATTCACAAGAGTTATGGTTTGGATAAGAATTTCCTACACAGGCTCCTGTGTTGAATGCTTACTCTCCAGGTGTGGTACATTTTCAAGGGCTCTGGAAACTTAGGGAGACGGGGGCCTAGCTGAAATAGTTCATGGGCACTACTGGGCCTTGAACGCGGGGCTTAGGTGCAGTCCATCCTTGAGCTTTTTCACTCGAGCCGGCACATTAGCACTTGAGCAATGGCTATACTTCCAGCTTTTGTTTCAGTTGTCAATGGAAGGTAAGTCTCAAGGCTTTTTCTGCCCTATCTGGATTTGAACTCTCAAAGCCTCCTGAGTAGCTAGAATTTCAAGCATAAGCCACAGATGCCCTGCACAAGCCTCAGCTCTCAAAAGATTCTGCCCCACAACATTGCTAGACAAGGGACCAGGTCTCTGTCACAGGACCTTTGGAGACAAACCACATCCAAACCACACCAGTAACCATTCATGGTTATAACTTAAGACTTAAATTATTACAGTTTTTATGTTTTTCCTCATTGTAGAATCTCCTAGAAGACTCAGCAGATCCAATGACAGGAAAAGAAATGAATTTGTCAGTCTCTGAAGGTTTAGAGTATATCCATTAACCTCTAATCTTCATGTAAACCAGAAGATATGCAGTTTCCTGCCTATAAAGAGAAATTTATCAGCATAGCAAAATGAAACATTTACAATGAAAGGCTGTATGTATTTTTGGGTGGGTTGTGGGACTTGAATTCTGGGCCTGGGCACTGTCCCAGCTCAAGGCGAGGGCTCTACCACTTGAGCCATAAAGCCACTTCTAGTTTTCTGTAGCCAGTTACTTAGAGATAAGAGTCACAAACATTTTCCTGCCCAGGCTGGCTTTGATCCGCAATCCTCAGATCTCAGCCTCCTCAGTAGCTAGGATGACAGGAGTGAGCTACCAGTGCCTAGTTGAGGGGATATATTATTGATTCACAATAGGACCAAATTTCCAGGATAATGAAGCAAACCTTCATCTACCTAACCTGTCCGTCTCATCAAAGGGAAAGAAAATAGTGACTTGGGAAACTAACCTGTAAGTTCTTATTAGCTAACATACAAATCATGGACAGCATGGTGCTAACGGCTCATGCCTGTGATCCTAGCTACTCAGGAGGCTGAGATCTGAGGGTCATGGTTCAAAGGCAGCCTGGACAGAAAAGTCTGTGAGACTCTTATCTCCAATAAAATACTCAGAAAAAGCTGGAAGTAGCACTGTGGTTCGAGTGGTACAGCATTAATCTTGAATACAAAGAGGCTCAGGGATAGCACCCAGGCCCTGAGTTCATACCCAGGACTAGAAGAAAGAAAGGAAGAAAGGAAGGAAGGAAGGAAGCAAGGAAGGAAGGAAAACAAGGAAGGAAGGAAGGAAGGAAGGAAGGAAGGAAGGAAGGAAGGAAGGAAGGAAGGAAGGAGGAAAGGACCAGGGACAGACATATTATGGGACTATAAGCCAACTCCAACCCTGTTTTTTGTAAATAAACTTAATTGGAACATGGCCACTTACATTCATTCATTCACGTGCTGTCTGTGGCACCCTGCATGTTGCAAGGGCAAAGCTGAGTAACAGCTACAATAGCTATGCTCCAAAACCCTAAGTACTTTCTCTCTAAGTTCTACAGAGAAAGTTTGCTAACCCCTATTCTAAATCACAGGGGAATGAATAACCAAAAATTGGCTAAGAACAGGCACCTAAGAGAAATGTTGAGAATAAATAAAAGGAAAATATGAAAAGTAGGTAAAAGGAAGATATCAAACATAAGCTCCACCTAATCCATTAATTATGAAATCAAACCTCTGATGTAGCTGAATATCACCTGGTATAAGCACCATCACCCCCAATACCACCTCCACTACCTACACTGTCACCCCCATACCACCTCCAGTACCTACACTGTCACCTCAATACCACCACCACTACCTACACTGTCACCCCAATACCACCTCCACTACCTACACTGTCACCCCCATACCACCTCCAGTACCTACACTGTCACCCCCAATACCACCTCCAGTACCTACACCGTCAGTTCCATTTCCACCTCCAGTACATATAAAAATATCTGCCTTAACTTTACCCAGCTTTTCTCTCTAGGTTAATGACTACGTCAGTATCATGTCCTGATGCCTACTGAGAAAGAGAAGAGTGGTCCTGGCCCCTGCTCTTCTGGGCACCACTGGCTCACACTTGTAACCCTTGTTATTCAGGAGGCTTAGATCAGAGAATTCAGGTTCAAAGCCAGCAGAGCAGAAAAGTCTTTGATACTCTTATCTCAAATTAACCACACAAAAGCAGGCCGTGGAGTTGTGGTTCATGTGGTAGAGCACTAGCCTTGAGTGAAAAAGCTCAATGCCTAGGCCTAGACTTCAAACCCAAGAAACAGCAACAAAAATAAAAAAAATAAAAAAAAAAGCACATGGTCTGGTGTGAGGGGAAAAGTCGCAAAATCAAAAAACATTTTGAAGTGTAATAAAGGAGGCCTGCTCAAAAAGCAACGAAAGCAAATAAGATAGCCCTGCCTTTGGAGCTCCAGCGGTGCAATCGGTTAGCGCGGTACTGATAAGATAGCCCCGCCAATCCGCTGGGGCCCATCAGTAAAGGCTTTGCGCAGTAGGAAAGACAGTGATTATCAAAACACCACTAGGCACTTGCTCAGAAGATAAATTAGGACAGGGTCATAGAGACCAGAAAATACAGGTACACAGTTACAGAAGATGATGGACATGGTATTGGGACTTATGCCAGTGCTTTACTTAAGTCTAAATTCTGAGGGAAGTGTGGTGCCAGGGATGACTGCTGAAAGATGAGGCTGAATGGTAGTCAGTGGGGACTCTCGGATAAAGGCAATAGTTCATCCGTGCAGATTTCATAAAGCTCCAAGAACCCAGTGGACCCCATTCCCCCAAGTACTTCTCTTACCAGCGGTAGTGATGATTTCCATAGGTACACTGGACATCTTCCCAGGACACCTGGAAGAACATCACAGACATCAGCAGCTGGTTGGCAGCTGCTATTACGTGTTGACAGAACAGGGGACACTGTAATGTGCCCTGTTAGACTCCTGCAGAGAATGGAGAAGCCCACCCTGGCGACCACACAGCATCAGAGCATCTGGTGACACAACGCCGTGCATCCTGAGACCCTCTGTGATGTCCCCACTCACCTTGAAATGCTTACACCTATCCCAGAGTTTTACACCTTGCATCTTTAACGTCTCGCTCCACAGACGTTTCCTACAAAGCATAAACCTTCAAGGTACGGAGCTAAGAGCACCAGAAACCTAACACTGACACAAACAGATGCTTAGAAAGCAATAAACCATGGCTGGGAAGGTGGCTCAGTGGTAGAGTGCTCGCCTAGCATGCATGAAGCCCTGGGTTCCATTCCTCAGTACCACATACAGAAGAAACCGGAAGTGGCGCTGTGGCCGAAGTGGTAGGTAGAGCACTCTCCTTGAACACAAAGAGGCTGGGGAACAGCACCCAGACCCTGAGTCTAAGCCCCAAGACAAGCAAGAAAATAAATAAATAAAGCAATAAACCTAGAGAATGGCTTTGAACCACAAAACTCCCCAGCTCCTACACACAAACTACAAGACCATAATGCGTCTTCAACTCTGAGCTGAGAATTTATTGAAGGTGGCTAATTCAGAGAAGGAGGAAAGTTTAGATGATGGTTCTCACCCAACAAACATTGGAGTCATTGAAGCAGAGCCATCTTCCATCCGCTGGATTCCGAATGTAGGCACAGTAATGACCGAAGTCTGCCATCCCTACGTGGGCTATCACAGCGAAGAGTTCATACTGTGCTTCACGCTGGAAGAGGACAAGGCTGTAAGCGAACCATCCCTCCTTTCCCAGCCCTGGTATGGTCTTTAATGAGGAAGCATATTTGCCAGGCACTTGTTTACTGCCTGCTCTAGGCCCGGCACTGACACTTCCAAGGAGCTCGAAGAAAAGACCTTGACCTGCAGAATCTCACAGCTAGTTGAAGAGAAGCATCACAAACCAGAACTGTGATGCCTGTGTTATATCAGACGCACGACAAGTAAGTGGGGGATGTTCAATTTTTGCCAAGTGGGAACTCTGAGGAGGTCTCTGTTAACCATGCAGAAGGGTTTTTTAACATTGGCAGACAAGTTATCGGAAGGGAATTTGTTTTGGTTTGGTCTGGTTTGGGGGGGAAGGGGTTGTGAACTTTTTGTTTCACCTTGGTTTATTCTTTGTTTTTGTTGGTTTGTTTTGGAAGTTGCGGTTTGAACCCAGGGCCTCCTGCGTGCCAGGCAGGAGCCTTACCATTGAATCACGCCCCTAGCTCTGTTTTGTGCTGTTTTGTCCTTCCCCAGGCAAACGTCTGGAACATGATTTCCCCCGCTTCAGGCTTCCTATGATTAATGGGCTGATAGACACATGCCACCATCTGAACAGAAGACAGTCTGAAAGTCTTCAGTTTGAGGTTAATGAAACTGTGAGAAATATGAGGTGACATTCAAAAAGGTGAGGAGAAGAAATGGAACTAGAATATCCACAAAACGCTGACAGAAAAGAACCCGAAAACGGACAGTGAAATGGCAGGACAGAAACCTTACAAAGACAGTAGGACACGAAGAGGAATGTTACAGACGCAAAGTCTCTACTACATGTGTCCATGAAGTCTTCCTTCCATTCCCTCAATATCTTAGAAAACTGTTTAAAAGAAAAGGGAACATTAGTAGTGAGAGTTTGGGCTGACTTTTTTGTTAGTCAAGAGTATTTCTTTCTTTCAAAAAAAAAACCATAGCAGCAGAAACCCGACAGTGGTTATTAGGGGTTGTAATGAAAGATGCTGATCAAAGCACACAAACTTCCAGTTAGACGGGAGGAATGGGTTTCAGAACAATGTCATACAGTATCGATGTGTTCCACACCGGAAAATGCTTTTCAAGAATTTTTACATACGCTCACCACAAAGACACAGGTGAAGTGATAAGTATGTTGTCTAGCTTGAGCTAATCTTTCCAAAATTTGAGGATGGGTGCGGTTGCACACCTATAATCCAGGTTCTCCAGAGGGGGAGATCAGAAAGGCTGTGGACAAAGTCAGCCTGGCCAGAAAGCTAGTGAGACTCCAATCTCAACAGACAAGCCAGACACAAGTGCACACCCGGAAGCCTGTCCCTGGGAGAGGCAGAGGTAGAAGAGCAGTCCAAGGTCAGGCCTGGACAAAAACAAACCACTGCCTGATAACAGAACTCAAGCCAAAAGGCCCAGCGGCTTGGCTCAGATGGTGAATGGCGATGTGCTTGCTACAGGCCCAGCGTGACACATTAGTCAGTGCCAAGACCACAAGACACCATTCCTCCGGCATGCGTACGTCACAGCACCACACTGAAATCCCTACACACAAATACTTTCCATGTGTCAACATTGGAAAGAAGGCAGGTTTGTTCTGAGTCTTTAAAGAAACTAACACTAGGAACAGCAAAGGCTTGTGGTGACATTGTTATAATGATAACCCCAGCATGGACCCCGGGGGACCACATGGTCATTAAAATCAATAATGCTTAGAAAAAAACAAAAACAGCCTTTCTTTTATTTGTGAGGCAGGGTCTTAACTGTGTAGCTCACACTGGCCTTGAACCAATGCCCCTCTGGTCTACGTCTCCCGGCCGCAAAGAAGATAGGCACGTGCCAACATACTGGCTGAAAAATAAATAAATAAATTGAATTTAAAATGTTTTTAAGCCCTCTGCCTTGAATATGCCTTTGCTTCTGTGACTCGCAGCAACCTGAGGCCAGCCTGTCCTCGGTGCGGGCCCTGCCTAGCCCGCAGAGGGCACACTTCCTCAGACAGAGCAGTGCTCAGAGGCTGAGCTCACCACGCCTGGCTCCCCTCCCGGGGGCGCTGCGCACCCAGCACCGGGCTGCTCCGAGCCCTCACACTGTGGAGGTGAGCTGAAGACCAAATCGCTAACCCGGGCCTGGGGAGCCTGAACCAGGGGATTCACCAGTCGGTGCCATCTAGCAGTCGAGGGGTAAGAGCGCTGAACCTGGAGGACGCCGCGTCTGGTAGGATCGATCCAGAACACCTCACCTGCTCTGCGTCCTCAGTGAAGTCTTGATGCTCAGCCAGAAGAACCTGACTGAGATCCAAGCGCTGAGGGAAGTGCAGCAAGTGGCAGACTTTCTCCGTCTGTGAGTTCCGAATGGAGAATCGCATCAGGTGAAGGGTCAGGGTTTGGGGCAGATGCGTCATCCTCAAGACCTGCAAAAGCAAAACTCACTGTGAGACGGGGCCCCGAGGCGCTTGCGGGAAGATCCTGAGACACGCCGGGCCTGGTGGCTCGTTCTCCTCCCCAGGGGGAGGGGTGCGGGGGACACACTGGGGAGCTGAAGGCTTCCATGGCAGAATCCATTCCTCTCCCCGGAGACTCAGGGGATGCTTGGCCAGCACAGCACTATGGACCTCAGACAAAAGCCGTGAGCTGCTCAGGGCTCCGCAGAGGTGCCTGGCCCTCAGAAACTAGGAGTCTGCTGTAGGGAGCGTCTCTAAAACCAAAGAGGAAACCCCACCGCCCCCACCCAGCCCCATGCCGTCACCTGCCACTCCTGGTGGAAGACTGTGGTCAAGAAGCGACATCCACAGCCCCGTCTATGAGAAGCCCGAGCGTCTGAACTAGCCTCACCCACATCCCACCCCATCCGCCATCAGGAAGGGCCCGGAAGTGTCTGGAAAGCCGTGGCCCAGCAACAGCCCGCCCCGGAGACGCATCTGAACCTGAGGGTGGGCACCTGGCTTCCACGCGTCTTCGTCCCGCAGGCCTCGCAGAACCACTTGCTCTTGCTGGCTAACTCCCTGGGGTGGAAAAAACAGCACAGGGCCTCCTCCTGCCGGCGGAGGCCGCAGGGAAAGGCCGCGTCAGCAGACCCTTTCCATGGGCACGCGGCCACCCCACAGGTGAGGGCTGAGCTCCACTGCAGGTTCCCCCACAGTCCCCCAAGCACCCCACTACCAACGCTACATCTGTCAGGATCTTCCACCCACTGGAGGAGAAAACACAAGGAGCCCTGGTTAATACGAGGGTGAGAAAATGAGAAACAGGATAGAACTTCTGCTGCTGCTCAAAGAGCAGCATGCAAGTGAAACAGAGTTGTTAGTGTCCGCGGGTGGAAGGACACGGGGAACTGGCATGGCGGGGGGAACTGGCATGGCGGGGCGACCCTTTCTCACCCAGTCTCTCACCAGTGTTTGCAGAGGCTTTGCGTCCACGTCATAGAGAGGGAGGGAGAGGGTCAGCATACTGCTGTTCCTACTGCTCTCTCTGGTAGAGAGGAGGCAAACCAGGGACTCCTTCACCCGGATCGTGTACAGGGCCTGCAGCCTCTCTACCTGCAAGAAGGCGCCAAGGACTGGTGAGGCTATGGCCACAGTTGGACCTGTTGGACTGACGAGCCCTGACGCTCCCGGCAGGTACCGGGAAGGACACCAGGAACCGTGGCAAGCGGTCTCCACGGATCCCTTACTACAAATGCACAATGGTGAGCGACCTCTACAGGTCCTGGGATTCCAGCTTCAGCTCTTACCAAGTCCACATCATCTATTTGATCCTTAAGAAGGTTCCAGAACGTGAGGTAGAGCTGAGCAGCATCGTGCTGGACAAACACTGGTTTAAAATAATGTAACAGCACATCAGTGCGGTCGCTGGAGAAGTCCCATGTCCTCACGACCCCTAGCTACGTGAACACTCACCACCTTGCCTTTGACTCTCCCAACTCCCAAAAGAGGTCAGGAGGTACCACATGTCAGGCGCTCAGGAAGGGAGAAGCATTCTTGGTGCTGGATTTGATAGCGCCTCTTAAACTTAAGCCTCGGGAAGGGAACAAGGCTGTGCTCTACGCACTCTGAAGGGTATGGTACACCGGCAGCCTCAGTGGAGGGGGAAAGGCTTGCCACAGAAAAGCCAGAGCAGGAGCTGAACTCCCTGAGCGGCGTAGAGAGGTGGGCACAAGCTGACTGGCCGGCCGGGGGCTGCCGGGCATGCCCCGCCTGGCCCCGTAGAACAGACCAGCTCCAGGAACTCTCCAGAGCACAGGAGCAGCGCCTCCTCGCTCCATCTGCTGCTCTGTTCCCAGCTTGCACCTGGCCAAGCCAGAACTCTGAAGGGAGGCGCAGACCACCAGACGGAATGCCAGGCGGCATTCCTTCTCAGCAAAGATCGAAAAATGACTCTTTTTTTTTGCTTTACTTTTTTTTTTTTTTTTTTTGGGTCCGGTTGTGGGGCCTGAACTCCGGGCCTGGGCGCTGTCCCTCAGCTCTTCAGCTCAAGGCTAGCGCTCTACCACTTGAGCCACAGCGTCATTTCCGGCTTTTTTTCTTTTTGCTTATGTAGTGCTGAGGATCAAACCCAGGGCCTCAGGCATGCAAGGCATGCGCTCTACCACTGAGTCACCTTCCCAGCCCAGCTACTCACCAATCTTATGTCTCACTCTAAACCATCTACTAACCCCAATCCCTACATAACTGCACAACCCACACTTTCTGCAATCCCAACCCTAACAAGTTCCCTAATCCTCACCTGTTCTATAATCAACCTTGAAGACTACTCCATATCCATACCATATCCATAACCCCAACCCATCCCACAGAGTTCTTCCTCACACATTCCCTAACCCTAAACCTTTGCTGGACCCTTACTCTAAAATTTCCTCAAGTGCATCCCCAACCTCACCCTTTGTCTCCCATATTTTCCCTACACCCTTTCCTGACCTTAAGCCTGACCTATTCCCATAATCCAAATGCTAGCCCTAACCTCACCAGATCGATAACCTTAACCTATAATCCTAACACTGACAATGACCCTGACTCTGACCCTAACCCCCAACCCTAGCACATGCTCCAACATGTACCCTATCAGTTATCCTAACACATACCTTACTCTAAAACCCTAAACTGTACCGCATACCCTAATAAGTACCCTAACAAATATAGTAAACAGTGTCACATTCTATCAAGTACCCAACAAGTACTGTAAACCATACAGGCACATTTACGTACACCCTATCATCTACCTCAATTTCACCTTACCGCATACCCAAACACTTGGCCTTAACCCAAACCATAACCCTAATATACACTATAGCATATACCTTAACCCTAACACATACCCTAATCTAACACGAACCCTGACATATACCATAAACTTCATTCTATCTCAAACACAGGCCATAACATACACTCTAAACGCTGAAATGTGTGGTAACAACGACTTACATGCACTCTAATACATTCAGGTACTTTATAGGTAAACTAGCATGTACCCCAAACATATCCAGTACATACCTTAACCCTAAGCCAAACCCTAACAAATACTCTAACATGTACCCTACTGGTTAACACAGACCCTAACCATTATCATGTACTGTAAAGCTTACATATACCCTAACAAGTACCCTAAACTTATCCCAACATACTTCCTAACTTGTTGCCTAACCCAAACCATAACTGTAACCTTAACACATACCCAAGCACATACTGTAACGCACACTCTAAACATTTACATGTAACAAGTACTCTAACATATACTTCAAGTCATACATGTACCCTAGCATGTGCACAAAACATACCCTGTTTGCTAACATGTACTCTAAACACTAACTCATACCCTAACAAGGACCCTAACACTTAATCAAAACCATGCAAATACCCTTAAATACACTCAAACTTGTACCTTAAAGTAACCCAATGTACACCCTAATATGTGCCCTGACTTTAACATGTATTTTAACCCCAACAGATTTCCCAATAGTACTCTAACACATTAAACATACTCTAGACACGCATATAATAACAAGTACCCTAACACATATTCTATAAAGCGTACAGGTAACCTTACATGTACCCTGAATGTACCCTAACATACTCTAACTCTGACCTTTACATATACCCCAAGTACATTGACACATACTTTAAAAAATTAATGTACCCTAACATGTGACTCAACAATATCCTAACATGTACCTTCACCCTAACGAATCCCCTGTGAAGTATGCTAACTCTAATACATACCCTAATATGTGCCCTAACTAACACACACTCTAGCATGTACCGTAACCCTAACAAATCCCCTATCAAGTACCTTAACTCTAACACATACATGGACATGGACTCAAACACATACCCTAATATGTGCCATCACTTTCACATGTATGTTAAACCTAACAGATTCCCAATATACTGTAATACAATAAACATGCTCTGGACACGAACCCATATGGTAACAAGTACCCATTCACATACTCTCTAAATTGTACCTGTACCCTGAATGTACCCTAACAAACTACAACTTCACATTTACCCTAAACGTAGCACATACCCTAATAAATACTCTAAATTCTAATACATTGTCCAAACCATCCAGGTAACCTTATGTGTATCCCAAATGTGTAACCTGACACAGGCCCTAGTCCTGACACATACATGTACCCTAACATATACCCCATCACACACCCTAACTCTGGCCCATACTCACACCCTAATAATATGTATCCTGACTGACATCCATACACCAGCATGTACTCTAACTCTAACACCCTATGTACCTAAAAATGTACCTCACCCCTAAAATGTATGGTAAACATTAACATGTACCCTAACAAGTACCCTAACGTGTACTCTAAGTGAGCCTTATATGCACCCAAAATGCTCCTGTGCTCTGCTCTTCCACAAGCCCTGCCCCTGGGCTGCGCACTTCCCTGCTCTAGGCAGAAGGTGCTCTAGGCAGGTGCACTGTCCATGGAGGACACTGAGTGCAGTGAGGACTGCTTTCCACCAGAGGGTGCTCTAGGTATGCGCACTGTCCTCCTCACTACCAGGGGGTGCCGTGACCGCTGCTTCCCACCAGAGGGTGCTCTAGGTGTGTGCACCGTCCTCCTCAGGTCCCCGGGGTCTCCCACAAGCTCCGTCCCAGGCCCACTCACTTCTCCTTTGCCACACCCCTCCTGTGCTCTGCCTCCCCACAAGCCCCGCCTCTGGACTCATTCTTGCCCCACCCCTATCATTCTCTGCCCCTACACAAGCCCTGCCCCTGGACCCCTCACTTCCATGCTCTGCTCCTCCCAGACTGGAGGGTGCAGTGAGCACTGATTCACACCAGAGGGCGCTCTGGGTGTGTGCACTGTCCTCCTCTTCTCAGGACCACGGGGTGCAGTGAGCACTGATTCCCACCAGAGGGCGCTCTGGGTGTGTGCACGGTCCTTCTCAGGACCAGGGGCTGCAGTGGATACAGTAGAGTGAAGTGTTGAGCTTTAACGCTTTCTTAATTGATGGCTGCTTTTAAGAATGATTCCCACCAGAGGGCGCTCTGGGTGTATACACTGTCCTTCTCAGGACCAGAGGATGCAGTGAAGACTGATTCCCACCAGAGGGCGCTCTGGGTGTGTGCACGGTCCATCTCAGGAAGAGAGGGTGCAATGAACACTGATTCCCACCAGAGGGCGCTCTGGGTGAGTGCACTGTCCTCAGGACCAGAGGGTGCAGTGAGCACTGATTCTGACCAGAGGGCGCTCTAGGGTGTCTCTTGTCCTGGCCAGGTATGCAGTGTTCACTAATTCCCACCTGATGGTGCTCTAGGTGTGTGTACTGTCCTCCTCAGGACCCCAGATCCTCCCACAAGCCCACCCCTGCACTGCTCACTTCTTGCTCTGCTCCGCCCACAAAACCAGAGGATGCAGTGAGCACTGATTCCCACAAGAGGGTGCTCTAGGCTTGCACACTGTCCTCCTCTCCTCAGCACCTAGGGTGCGGTGATAGCTGATTCCCACCGGAGGGCACGCTAGACAGGTGAGCACCTTGCTCGTCTTCTCAGGACCAGGGGTGCAATGAGGGCTGTTTCCCACCAGAGGGTGCTCTAGGCATGCTCACCGTCCTCCTTTCCTCAAGACCAAGGGGTGCGGTGAGCGCTGATTGCCACCAGATGGTGGTCTAGCTGTGTACATGATCCTCCTCTTCTCAGGTCCAGGGGATGCAGTGACCAATGTTTCCCACCAGATGGTGCTCTAGGCCTGCACATGATCTTCCTCATCTCAGGACCAGAGAGGTGCAGTGACCACTGCTTCCTACCAGATGGTGCTCTAGGTATGCACACTGTCCTCATGACCCTTGGCGTCCCACCAGCCCCGCCCCTGGACTGCTCACTTCCTGCTCCTGCCCCACCCCTGCAGTGCTCCACTCCTCCTCCTAGCCTGTAGCTGCAGCTACTTCTGCCCAGGACCCTGGAAAACTTGAAGCCCTGATGAAGTGTC